GGCAGGCTGTTCGCTGGACATTTTACTCTCTTAACTTTGACCCAATTTATCTCGGCTCCAGTATGAGATATCAAAAAAATGTCTGACTAATAAAATATTGCTGACATCATGATAAAAATTCTATCAATTGACTATTTTTTAGTATCTCTCACAGAAACCGAGAATTTTTAATTTTGGGAATTTGTGAAGTAGAATCTCAGAAAGTCGGAAACACGGAAACTCGAAAATCCGAAATTTCAGAAATTATGAGTTTTGAAATGAAGTATTTTAATATAAAAATCGTTGAGTTCTAGAATCGCAGTTCCGAAAATTCAGGACTCCTGAATTTTGAAACTTCTGACAAAATTATAAGTTGTCAAATTTCAAGATATTCGGGAATTCAGGGAAAATTATTAGTTCTACAAATTTGGAAATTTTTAACAGTTCTTGTATCAACTAAGACAAATTTCTGATCTACATTTCTGATTTATCTGTCCAAGCCCAAACTCAATCGGTTAGGCTGTTGTAAGCGGGAGCCAGAAGGTTTAGCCCCGAAGGCGCATAAGCAGACTGTCACTCCAGTTTATGAAAGTTGACAACACAATCCAACTAAAACTTCCTCTTCTGATTCTCTCCGATTTGGAGATTCAAACGTTTTTAGTGAAACCAGGAGATTGTAGCCGCCGACAGGCGGCGGAAATCGATTGGTTCTTTCAAAAATTGATAAAAATCAAAGCGTCAAGAATAGTTAAATAATGAAAAAAAAAAGATTTTAAGATATCTAAATGGGGATCAAGACATTTATTCAGGCAGGGTTGAATCGATGAACAAACCTGACAACTTAAAAGGCGCATAACTAAGCCGAAACTTGGAATTTCTATAAAAGATAAATATCAAAATGTAGAACTTTACAAGAGCTTCAATATGGTATGTAATTCAACTATTTTTACATTTCGAGTTTAGGACCAGAAGCCGCCAAAATGCTGAGTGGGTGAAGTCGACCCAATTGGCCCCAACCTGTTTCACGACCTCTGGCTCGAAATTCAGAATTCGAATATATTGGTATTTGATATCACTTTGTGGATCTTGCTGTGTTCTACATTTTACTTTTTAAGTCAAACAGAAATTCTAAGTTTGAACAGAGTTATGCGCTGAAATGGATAAAGACGGAAATCTCCAATTTTACAAAGACAAAGTTCAATTTAAGAAGTCCAAATCGGGGAAAAGTAGAACCAAATCGAACCAAACTAATACAATTTAAAGAGACAGACTCTCTGCGCACTTGGTGCCGTCCGCCTTCTGGGAAGTCTCCGTTTCCCGAAAAAGTCACACACCGGAAGAACAAAAAGAAGTGGGGAAGAACCCAAAACACTTGACACACACCCAGAAGACTCTCTTCTTTCCCAAGAAGCAGAATCGCAAATCAGTTTGGAATCCTCACGATATCGAGAACCCCATTGACGTCATTTTGGAATTTCAGCAAAAACCATTTTCCATTTTTTTTGGAAACTTTTTTTTTTGGGAAAGACAACCTTATAACCCCAAAAATTGGAAAAAATCGCGTACCGCTCTCATCTCTGATCGTCGTCACGTCTTCTGGAATTCAGTCTTCTTGGGTCTGACGTCTTCGGCAGGTAGCAGCAATTTCTCGTTTAGTTACGCCCTCCGCCCGTCTCGTGCATCTGGAAAAAATAGATTATTGTAGGAATATATAACTGAAGGCGAGAAGAAAAAATAAGGGAAAATAGCACATTGAACTTTGATTTCAACTATCTCGATTTCTAGAAAAGATATCAAAAAGTGCTCAACTGATAAAATATTGGTTATTTTATGGCAATCATTTTATCAGTTGACATATTTTTGATATCTTTTGAAGGAACCGAGATAATTAAGCTCAAAAAGAAAGTACGGTAGTGATAAAATAGATAGTCTTTGACCGTTATCTTTGTTCCAATTCCTCTCGGTTACTGTGAAAGA